CGTGGTCATTCGGGACATGTATATAATTATGTGGAACCTATATGTAGTACTTCGGTACACTTATTGGAGCCATTGTATTATGTATGTGGTTCTTAAGGAGTAGTCCTTCGGGACATAGTGGTCCTACGGGACATATACAGTGGTCATTCGGGACATAGTGGTCCTACGGGACGAATACTGAACTAAGGTTCGGTGCCCCATGAGGGAATTGATACGAGCTGTGGTGACAGCATTAGTGCACAACCTCAATGTACTCACATACCTCTATTCTTAATAATATACATAGGCAATTGAAATACAAACTTTAAAGTGAAAGTGGTACAAGAAGGTAAGTTTCGTATGTGCATGATATGATTATATATGTTATCATGTAATAGATACATGAATATTGAAATGTCATGATCAAATGTTTAGAATACATATTCATCGGATGAAAATGGGTATTGATTGGAAAAATGTATGATATTATATGATAGATATGTTAATGATAATGATAGTATTTGTACATGTATGTGTTTTTGTTATATGAAATGTTCTATGGTTTTTATTATATGTTTATATGCCTCACTAAGTCAACGACTTAGCGTGTGATTGTTTCACACGTAGGTTTCGAGAAGAGTAAAGAGCAATAAGGAGCAAGACAGGTCAGTTCTCCTTACCAAATGTCAGATCAGAAAAGAGGTGAATAATACGTATTTTAATAAATAAAGTTTTAGTTGGCATGTAATCAAAAGAATATATTGTATAAGCTCTGAATAGTTTTGTAAACGTTTTGAATAAGTTCAATGTTATAAAAGTTTTTAAATTACTCACTATTTTATATGAATAAATGTTTGAAAAGACAATGTGACACTTTGGACTCGTATCCGGGTCGGATACGGGTTGGGGGTGTTACATTTAATGGTATCAGAGCTAAGGTTTAGCCGATTTTAGGCTTAAACCGAAGTCAAAGGAGGTTTAAAAATGTGTACATGCCAACTAAAGGTGGAAATTTCTGATCTGATAGTGTAAGGAGTATACTGTCTTGCTAATAGAATAAGATTTGTATGAGATAGTAAGAATTGATTATAGAAATTGTCAAAGTAAAGTAAATCGATAATTGACAAATCTGATGGTGATAGCAATTCACCTGCCCTGGCCAGGCAGGATGAAGAGCAGAAACCTCAGAAAGTGTCTTATAAGATTAAAGGTTGATTTCAGAAAGTTGAAATCATATTAGAATAGTGATAGAAGATCTTTATTGTGTTGAATCGGAAAAGTTTTATGAATTAGTTTTGTTAGTATGTGGATAAGATAGAATATGGTGAACAAATGTCACCATAAGAGCGTTAAAAAGATCAAATGATGTAGTAAGATTTGGTAGAAGAGTTCAAGAATAAGTATGTTAGTGATAAGCGTATAAGATGTATAAGTCAGTGCTTATGAGTTCGAAATGAAGGGATAACATTGTGTATAAGCCAGAGTGTTTATATGATAAGGGTTTGCAGTTAAGACAGAAAAAGTTAGCGTTGGCTAACAAGAATATGTGATGGGAATGTACGGGAAGTATAAGAATGTAAGATATTGTCGGGATATGATAATAAAATATGGAATGGATCTGGATACAGTTGTATATTTGAGTAAAGCTGAGAATTGATAAGAAGAGTTTGAGAATGTGTATATCGATAATTAGTTTATAAGACAAAGAAAGTCATAATATTGAGTTTGAACAACGGAAATTTCGGGATGTATATGATTGGATGATTAGGACTTGTGCCCTAGATTGAACAGATGTTATTGAATAGTTGTCATAGTAAAGGTGATAGAGTTATAAGATTGAAGGAAAAGATAAAGTTGAGTTAATTGATTATGATGTGAATTTGAATATAGTTGTATATTCTGAGCAGATAGCTATGATGTAGAAACGGAGATAAGTATTTGCATGAAACCTTCAGGAAGGAAAATACAAGTATAAGAAATGATAAAGAATGAAGTTATGTATAAGAAATGGGTTATCAGAGTAATGAGGATGCAATGAAGATTGGTACATAAAGATGAGTATAAGTGATAATACAAGAGTATGTGAACATGAAAGGAAATATATGATTTATGTATAAGGAATAAGGAATAAAGAAATGAAAGGGATTGATTTAAAGGATCAAATACGATAAATATGGAAGTACAGATGACAATTTTGATATACAAATAAGACAAGTGTGCAAGGTGATGTGAAAAGAATCTTTAAAGTGTATGTTGAATCGTATTTAAGAAGATTTAAGGTCGTATTCTTGGTTAAATGATGATGGAAAATGAATTTGGTTATTATAAAGTATTTAGAGATGAATTTATGATGTTAAGTGATGAAAATTGATGTTACCGTCTATGTGATTAGTGACATTATATGAAATTTCAGAAATGGTCAAAGGAAAATGCATAAAGGAAGGAGAGAGAAGACATAAATGGATTAAAGTTACTAGTTACTGTTTATATGATAAGTGTCAGTACATGAATGTATAAAGGAAAAGGCAACTGAAGAAATAAAGGAAGGAAAGATTAAGTGAAAGAGTTAGTATGAGAACATTAGAAGATATGTTCTTATTGATATGTTCAGTGAAAATTCGAGGACAAATTTTCTTTAAAGGAGGGGAGATTTGTAACATCCCGAAATTCAGGGTCAGTGACTAAATTGCAAAATTTGAAAACTATGTGCTTGATTTCAAAATAAGTTAAAAGTTCATGGATTTAGTAGTAAAGCTGGAAAATAACAAGGGTGTTATGGTCTTTTCTAAAAGAAGATTTTTATTTTTCCTTTTTAAGGAAACCACGTGGGAAAGGAGAGAATTATCCAGAGTCTTCTTCTCCAGCTTCTTCTTCTCCCCGTAAGCCTCATTTAAAGGTGAGTTTAATTTCAGCTGTTTAATTCTTGGATTTATAAGTTGATTTTGATTCTTGGAGTATTATATAAGCTTAAGGAAAGCTTATATAAGCTTTAAACATCAAGAATAGAGAATTAGAAAGGAAATGATATGAAAGGTGCAGAAATGAAATTTTGTTATAGAAAGGTTTTTGAAGTTCTAAAGATGGATTTGACTTGTCAAGGGTATAATTAAGAAGCTAGAGGCAATATAATTGAATTTGGAACATGTTGAAAATTTAGTGTAATTCTTGAATTACATATGGAGAATAGGATTTTGATGTTAAAGAGGTGATTAATGAATATGAATGAGTTTGAATATGAGTATGTAAGTTAAAAATAAGAAAGGGGATGATATATGAAGTATTAAGCTGAAAAGAGTGGATTTTCGGGCATAAAAGAGGATTCTGGGCAGAGTGCATCGATGCACATTCATAGTGCATCGATGCATCAAGGTTAAAACCCAGAAATTGTTTGAAGGTGTATCGATGCATTGGTAATGCATCGATGCACTCTTTTGAAATAGAAACATCGAATGCAATTAGTGCATCGATGCATAAGTCATGCATCGATGCATCCCTATAATAATACAACATCGAATGCATTTTATGCACCGATGCATCAATAGTGCATCGATGCATACCTTCATTAAAAGATGAAATTGGCTTTTCTCTGAGCCTAAGGAGTGATAGTTTCGAATATGTCAATCAGTATACTGATAAGTATTAATGTATTATTATGTAGATATAGAATGAAAGCTTGTTCTGGAACAAACTAAGGATTAGGATTGATTCAAAACAACGAGGCCCAGGTGAGTGCATCTTATTGTATAAGATTATATGGAAATTTGGACTTGTGATAAGTCTATTCTTATAGTAATAGCTCATTAAGTCTTGCTCCACGGATGGCCTTTCCTGATGTATCCCTATGCATGACAATGCTAGCTTGAGTACGATGTCGAAAACTTCTAACGAGTACTCCCCGTTAAGTTCCGGGTCTGCAAATTTGCTTATGTCCCCATCTTTGGTGAGTTTTCTTGCCTGAGAAGTGATAGAAGATTCCATTTGAGATCCTAGTAAATAGGAAGGATGGACATCTATTATAAACTTGATGGAGATTGTTATTACCATTTTACTTAGAGGCAGTGGTGTGTGAAGATTCATATTGAGCACCCTCTGCCCAGACAAAAGTTGTAGAAGTAATATACCGAAACTGTAAACGTCACCGGGTGCGTTCACACGATGGTTTCTATTGTACTCCAGGTCGACATAACCAAACGTTCCTTTCACTTCTGAGCTCACATGGGATTGACCTATATCCATAACTTTAGACAATCTGAAATCTGCTAGTTTGCTTGAAATTTATCATTAATTAGGATGTTTGTTGGCTGAAAAACAGAAAAACCGTAAATGCACTGAAACTACAGAAGACTAACGATTCCTCTGTACTCGAATGCACCTTGATATCACGATGAACGATGCAGCCTTCCGGATAAGTATGGAGAAACCAGAGTCCCCTTGCACTGTCTATTGTAATCTTGAGTCTTTGAATCCATGAAAGAGCTTTATCCTTTCCAACTCAAAATGTTTGTGTGAATGGCTCTCTATGTAACAAAAACTTAAATGACATTAACTCCACGTACAATATAGCCACTCTGATAGGTTCCCATGATGGCACAGTTCATACACTAGGAAGCATTCATCTTTGTTTTCACAATAGCCGACCAGAGCTACGAGGTTCGAATGCTTAATATGAGATAAGCTTCTGACTTCCCCGATAAAAAGTTTTGATCTGTCCATCGTTGATAATATGCTTACCTGCAACGTATTGGCCATTTGAGAGAAGACCCTTGCATATTTTTCCTGCTCATAATGAAGCGAAATGAGGATCGGAGATCTCCCAGTAAGGACTTTAAAAGAAATCTGAAACAGTCATAGTTAGAGTCTAACCAGCTATGCCTTGGCCAATGAAGTTTTGATTCATTTAAATAATTTGTTTCTGAATAAACTTCTTTGATAGAAATTTTCTGAGAAGAGGAATGCTTCGAGAACAACTCGTCCGACTCTATTAATTACAAAGAAGATGATGATTGGCAATAGCTATTAGTAATCTGTTCTTAGCTTGGTTGAATTATTAAGCAGAAAAATCTACCATTTTTCCTAGCAGGAATGATCTGTTCTTTCCTCTTTCTGTAGCAGATCCATGTAGAAATGACTACTATTATCAAAGCTGTCGCTAACCCTCCAATTAAAACCCATAAACCTATTATGGTCAATAATGTTTTACACCTTTCATTCAATAATTATGTTAGAACATCAAAACTTGGTTGGGAGTCGAGATTGTCGATGATTGCAGTTGCGATTACCTTTTTTATGGATATTGTGGCTAGTTGTGCTTCCATGTTCATCTGCAAATTACAAGGAAAGTGCATAGTTATAATCATTGATTTTATGGTGAATTATGACGAAAAAGGGGATTCAGGAGGCAGTGGCAGTTGTCTTGTCTTACCTAAGGAATAAGCCCTTTCTCCTAGCCATTGAAATACTGCAAAGACCCAATTCTCATCATCAACCCTATTGCTTACCATGGATACCATTGCTACAAATCTACATACATCAGCATCACCAGTAACATGTACCACAAGTTTAATCTCTTCCCAGCTCCTAAAAAATGTACGACACGATTGATCCGATCCGTTACCTAACACCCAACAATCCTCTTGTAAGATTTGAAATCTATCTCTGTTAGGAATGACTCATAAATATACCGAGAAAGTCTCATAGTGGGGTTACAATTATGTGGGTTGGGGTGCGGGGGCTGCAGCCCCGCGGTATGGTACAGGGTTATTTTTGTAAATATGTATCATGATTTATTTATTATAAAAGGAGATGTAACATAAACCTATGAGACATTGAATTGAATAAAATTCTAGCACCGCCTAAGGCACCGAGGACGTAAGCATATTACTGAACCTCGTTAAAATTCTTATGTTCTTTCCGTTTTCTTTACCCGATTATTCAACAATTGGTATCAGATGTCAAGAGCCAAATTCGAAGTTGTGAAATTCGATGGTCAGGGTAACTTTGGATTATGGCAAATAAGGGTGAATGATCTGTTGGCGCAGCAAGGGATCCTGAAGGCTTTGCGACCTACAAAGCCGGCATCGATGGAGGGGGAAGATTGGGAAGAATTACAGCAGTGAGCGGTAGGAACCATACGATTATGTTTGCCTGACGAGGTTATGTATCACGTCATGCATCTTTAGTCTCTAGATGAAATTTGGAAGAAGATAGAAAGTTAGTTTATGTCTAAATCCTTAACGACTAAATTGTATCTAAAGTAGCGACTGTATGGGCTGAAGATGCATGATGATCATGATTTGGTGCACGTGAATGTCTTTAATCAAATCGTTTCTGATTTGACTCGGTTTGATGTGAAAATTGAGGATGAAGACAAAGCGATAATTCTGTCATGTTCGTTGCCTCCCTCTTACGAACACATGGTGACTACTCTTACATATGGGAAAGAGACTATCAAAGTTGAGGAGATTACTGCAGCCTTGTTGGCTCACAACCAGCGGAAGTAGAATATAGGGGGAAACTCTCAAGCTGATAGCTTATATGTCAAGGGTAATCGAGACCGTGAACGAAAGCCAGAGAATGCAGGGTCTGAGAAGCGAAATTTCATATCCAAATCTAGGGCTAAGAAGACAATTCACTGTTACAAGTGCAAGGAGGCGGGACATATGAAGCAAGACTTTCCGAAGTTGAAAAAGCAGACTGATGAGAAGCGTGATGACTCATCCAAGTCTGTGAATGTGGTCGAGGATGACAATTTTGATTGCAGTGAGGGTGATATGCTCTCTATTTCAACGACTCAATTGACGGATGCTTGGATTCTTGATTCTGGATGTTCTTATCACATCACGCCAAATAGGGAACGATTTTCGACATACAAGTCGGTTAATTCTGGTTCTGTTTATTTGGGTGATTATTGATGTTTCAATATTGTTGGTATTGGTAATGTCAGAATTAAGATGTATGATGGTTCTATTCGGACGTTGTGTGGTGTTCGGCATATCCCAGATTTGAAGAAGAATTTGATTTTTCTGAGCACTTTGCACAAGAATGGTTTTATCCTTAATGCTGATGAGGATAGGGAAACCATTAGGATTGTTAAAGGAGCTTTGACTGTGATGAAATGAAAGATGACTACAGGGAATATTTACAGATTGTTAGGGAGTACCTTTGTAAGTGGAGTTCATTGTGTTGAGTCTTGTGATGATACTACCAAATTGTGGCATATGCGTCTTGCTTATCTTAGTGAATGTGGTATGGCTGAATTACATAAAAGAAATATGTTGCATGGTGTTAAAAGTTGTAAGCTCAATTTTTGCAAGTATTGTATAGACTAAAGTTCGTTTCAAGACTGGGAAGCACACAACTGAAGGGATTCTTGATTATGTGCAGTCTGATGTATAGGGGCCTTCCACGACATCGTCTTTGGGTGGATCTAGGTATTATGTTACTTTTATTGAAAATTTTTCACGGAAAGTTTGGGTGTATTTTTTGAAACAGAAGTCTGACATTTTTGAGAAGTTAAAGCTGTGGAAAGCTGAGGTAAAAAACCAAACAGGACGAAAAATCAAGTGTTTGCGGTCTGACAATGGTACGGAGTAAACAGATTCACAGTTTCTAAACTTCTGTAAGAAGCATGGGATTAAGAGGCATTTTACAGTGCGTAAGACACCACAACATAATAGTGTTGCGGAACGGATGAATATGTCGTTGAATGAAAGAGCCAGATGTTTGCAGTTGAATGCGGGGCTTCCCAAACACTTCTGGGCTGAGGCTATTAACATGGTGTGTTATCTTATCAATTGATCGCCAAGGGCATCATTGGCTGAGAAAGTTGCAGAAGAGATATGCCTGGTCGTGATGTTACTTTTGATCACTTACGAAATTTTGGTTGTCCTACTTATGTGCATGTACCTGCTGATAAGAGATCCAAACTTGATGCAAAATCTAAAGAGTGCATTTTTCTGGGTTACAAGAAAGGTGTCAAAGGATTCAAGTTTTGGGATCCAGTTGCAAAGAAAATTGTGATCAGTAGAGATGTTGTTTTTTATGAACAACTCATGTTGCAGCAGAAGAAAAACACGACATTGGTGGATTTCGAGTAGTTTCCAATTGAGAAAACAAAAACTTCTCAACCGACTTCTGGTGGTTCCGCTATGGATGATTTGCAGGATTATAGTCTCGCCAGAGACAGGATGAGACGGACGAATATAAAGCCTCCGAATATATTGTGTTTTGAAGATTTGGTCTCTTTTGCACTTATTGTTAGTAGTGTTGATCCAATTACTTTTCATGATGTTGTTACTAGTGCCCTAAGACAGATAAGGAAGCTGAAGATGTGGCAAAGGTTCCGTATTCTAATGCTGTTGGCTGCTTGATGTATGCGATGGTATGTACTCGTCCTGATTTAGCTCATGCTGTTAGTCAAGTTTGTAAGTACATGTCTAAACCTGGTAAGCAACATTGGGAAGCAGTCAAGTGGATCTTTCGGTACTTAAAGGGTACTGTGGGACATGGAATTGTTTTTGGGAGTCAGCGGGATAATCCTTTGGTTGTAGGATATGTGGATTCAGACTATGCAGGTGACTTGGATAATAGAAGATCTACGACAGGGTATGTCTTTACTCTTGGTGGAGGGCCTATTTGTTGGAAGTCTACTGTTCAATCTGTTGTGGCTCTATCTACAACTGAAGCTGAGTACATGGCAGCGGCTGAAGCTGCAAAAGAAGCTTTATGGCTTACTGGTTTAGTGAAGGAGTTGGGTGTTCAACAAGGTGGAGTTCAGTTGCTTTGTGATAATCAAAGTGCTATTCACTTGGCTAAGAATCAGGTGTATCGTGCTAGAACTAAACATATTGATGTAAGGTTCCACAAGATCAGAGAGTTGGTTGCATCTGAAGAGGTTTTGTTTCAGAAGGTACATACTGATGAGAATGCCGCTGATATGTTCACCAAGCCAGTTACGACAGACAAGTTCAAGCATTGCTTGGACTTGTTGAATGTTTCGAGTTGTTAAAGAAACAAGGTAACCCAACCCACATTGAAGTTTTCAAGGGGCAGGGTATTCGCCAAGGTGGAGATTTGTTAGGTATGGCTCATAAATATACCAGTAAAGAGGACATGAGATGGAGCGGAGTGAGGTTATAAATAGAGATGTAACCTAGACCTAAAATATCATTGAATAAAACTTCTAGCGCCGCCTAGGCACCGAGGTCGTAAGCACATTGCCGAACCTCGTAAAATTCTCGTGTTCTTTTGTTTTCTTTACCTGTTTTCGTCAACAGAACTGAATTATCATTTAATGTAAATATGATTATAAAATACACAAATATTACTACAAAAATAAATTTTAATAGTACAAGGAGTGGGTTCCTACTCGATCTGAATTTTAATTTAATTACAAGGGTTAAAATATTCAAAGTTAATCTATATTTGATGTATAAAGAACTTAAAAATAAGAAGGGAGAAGAAATTGACGTAAGAGATACATCCCTCTTCACTAGTTGCATTTCCATCCATTACTTATGTGTTAACCCAAAGATTGATACAACTGCACTCTTTATATAAACATGGAAAACCATTTTTGGCTAGCGCTACAAGTTCTTGATATAATAGAAATGGGAAAAAACAAAATCATCACTTCATTCCATATGGTAGGAGGGTACTGTCAAATGTCAATTGAGAGCGGCCCAAAAAGGTTGAAATCAGAGCCGAAAAAGAAAAAGGGTTAATATTACAAACTAAACAATCCTATTCCCAAGTTCAATCTACATTTACTTCAGATCGAAAAGAAAAGGTATCCCCAGCGAAGATTAACTAATAACCATGCAATAAAAATCTCAGTCCCGTAGAGCAACACATCAATGTTAGATAGATCAGGATCTCGACCGCAAAGCCAGACCAGTCTCCACTTTCTTAATTTCAAATATCAGCATCCTCCACATCTTAAGCACAAACATCTCTGCCTCTTCATCTAATATAGACTGCAGCAGCTCCAGCATTTGGGAAGCCTTGACATGTTCCTGAGTACTCGATACAATGTAATCAACCAGAGTTTTCTCTTCTTCTCCCAAGAACTCCGTAATTTTCTTTGAAATCCAGGGTCTCATTCTCTCATGCAATGCATGCTGTACAAGTGACAGTACCATTTAAACTAAAATTATAAGGTAAAAAATAGCTGCCCAAAGATGATTATTTCAGACAATGCAGAAGAGAAATATGGATACTGCAATATTCATGTTAGTTTCACATATGCCAAGGACGAACAAGCCTAATGCAATTGAACCTAACATTATGCACTATGTTAACTAGTTAGCCCTAACCAGAGGGCAGAATGTTTGAAAAAAACAGTTTGAAAATTGACATGTGAAAAGATGATTACCTGGTCATAAACATTCCAGTTTATCTCGTATGAAAATAGTTCCTCCTTGGTCTTTGGAATCATATCAATTAATTGTTTGGCATCCAAAAGCTTCTGGTTATCGGTTGTTTTCACCTTACCATGTCCATGTTCCCTGTCTCTATCCCGATCAGGGATTTTCTCTTTGGTCTTGTCTCTGTTGCGATTTCTATCCTCATTATTACGGTCCTTATCCCTACTAGATTTATCATATGAACGCTTGGTTCGCTCTCTTTCTGAATCAGGCTTTTCCTCTTTAGGATTAACATTTGATATTCGCTTTGCAAATTCAGCAGCTGCAACCAAATTTGGTGAAGGTGCACCAGGTTGGACAGCCCCCAATTCCTCATTAGAGTAATCAATGGGAACCAGAGGCCTCATTTTCTTCTCCTTCTGTGCATCATCATCTTCCTCCTCATGGAAAACAGATGGAACAGTCGTCCTCTTTCCAGATCCAACAAGACCAAAACCCAACTTTCTTGCTGGTGCATTCCCACTCTGTTGTGTATCCGAGGCAGAAACAAAGGCTGTGTTTGATTCATCAACAGAAGCATTTTGCATATTCTCATCACCTATCATACGAAAACATATTTCATTTCAGAAAAACAAATAAAACAAGATGAACACAATAATTAGATTCGACAAAGTTACGAAGAAGAACAAATACCAACTATCTGGTTTTCATGACTTGATTCGCGCTCATAATGCTGTTCAATTGCCTTATCTTTACTCTCATTGCTAGCTTCTTCAGTCAATGCAGTCTTTTCAGCTCCGTTTTCAAAGCGACCAGACAAAAGCTTTAATGCATCTCGTTGCTGCTGCAGTTGCAGCTGTTCCTCCTCTGCCCTTTTCTTGGCCTCAGCCATTTCTTTCTCTTCTTTTAGTCTATCAGCCAAGTCATCCTCCTTCTCCCGCAACCTCTTCCTCCTTTTTTCCTCCAAAACACCCCTGCGCAACCTTTTTCTCGAATCATCATCATCATCCTCTTCTATATCATAGCAAATCTCCCTCTTTCGTTTCCGCTCCCTCTCTTTTTCCCTCTCCTTCTCATACTGTCTCTGCTTCTCCTTCTCCTTTTCTCTTTGCTCCCAATCTCTAAGAAATTTTTCATACTCACGCTCTGCCTCCTCAATCTTCCTTCTCTGCTCCCTCTCTTTTCTCATCCTTTCCCGCTCTGTCTCTCTTTCTAATCTTTCAATTTCACGCTCCTTCTCCTTCTTATGATCTTGCTCTCTGTCTCTACTCCTATCATGCCTACGTTCTGGTGAACTTGTCTCCGGTCGATCATTTTCAGTTGTCGCTTTGCTCTCACTGGTAGTCTCATCATCATTTTTACCTTCAGTTCCATCTGCAAAATATTCACTCAGTATATTCTCCTCTATTTGAAAAATAATAAGCATAATTACTTCCTCCAGTGTAATTCTCATAAAATTTCATGACTTTTATAGATTTTGATGACATGGCATGATAAAGATAATAAAGAGGTCAACAAAACCACAAAGATGGAGCCACAAAAACTCGCCATTTCTTACTAGATCAACATCTGAATTTGATTTACCAGCATCAGGAGCAGTTAGTGGAGGAGGTGGAGGGAGAGGATTGGTCTTTAACCTCTCCTCAATCATGCCAGCAAGCTTCTCTGAAGCATCTCGATCAGCCTCAAGGTCTTCATCAGTAACAATGCCAGAGTTGGCAATGTCAACAATATTTTTTTCTTTGTTGTCACTGTCACCGTTTTTTGAGTTCTCAACAGAAATTGTCGAGGATTCATTCTTCTCATTATCTACTGCATTTTCACCTTCTTTATCAGACCCTGCAGCTGAAGCTTCATTTGGTTTCTTTTCATTTTCAGTTTTCTTTTCAACATATTTCACCAGATAATCCTTTGTTGCTTGATTAACATTTACCTGTTAGTGCAAAATAGAATCTGTGAAACAAGAACTATAAATGACCACAAGCAGAAGTAAACCGTTCAAATAGAAGAATCAGCTCACAAACACTGAATAATATATTGCTTTACCCTTCATTCTAGGATGCAGAGACCAGAACCAATTGCCGCTAAAGGAATATTACTTACAGACTGACATTTACTCCACAGAACCATTAGCCAACCCTAAAATAAGCTATTTTAGGAATAAAAAGGCATAGAAGTTCCAGTAAAGTGCCCATTTGAAACAATTTTAAAGTGAAAAAATATCTAGAAACGTTTAGAAAAGGAGGCAACACAATCGTTGAAAACAGATCATAATGAAACAGCTTGCATTGAACCAGGAAAGATTAATTCTAGCTTACACCTTAATGTAATTCATAATTTTCTCCCGGTGTTTTACATATCATTCATCATACCATTCAATTTTATATTTCATACATGATACAGGTTATAAGATACAATCATTTTAAATTAAAGTAAAAAATAGTAGTTTGATCAAATTCAGTTTCTAAATAAACTGAACAGCTTGTCACGTAAATGAAATGTGATAATGATCCAACCTTCACGATATTCAATCATAGTGAATTTAGAAGCAAACCTCATCACACACACACACACAACACAATATCAAAAAATAAAGACTTTAAGACAAACATGGGGATTTAAAAGGATAATAAAAAGAACTCACCATTAATTCTTGTCCGTCAATATTAAATTTACTAAGTAGACGTAATGCACGAAGAACCCCTTCAGCAGACTCGAATTCACAAAACCCAAAACTTTTTGGAGCCCCATTAGAGGGACGTTTCCAACTCTTGACAGATCCACAAAGCTTCAAAAAGGTGAAATAAAAACTTTATACTGAGCCAAAGCAAAAAATTAAACATAAGCAAAGCAACTTCAAAAATGGAAAAAGTACATCAATATACAAAAATAATAACTCACATGAAGAAGAGAGAGCATGAAGTCATTGTCCACAGATGGTGCTATCTTGCCAATATAAACTGTAGTTTGTGGCTTCTCTGTTGGAGTAACATTGGGAATAGATGGTCTGATGATAGGAGGAATAATTGGGTGAACACCAGGAACAGGAGGCCGTGAAAATGTTGGAATCACACCAATAGTTCCAGGTGGAAGTGGAGGGAATGCAGGCCGAGTCATTGCTGGGTAAGGAGAAGGATAGCGAAGAAGTCCTGCATAAACAGAAACAAATATCTATGCAAACATATCAGAGTAAGTTGACAAAATAAACATATCGATAATGATTTCAATGTAACCAAGCACTCTTACAGGAAAAGAATTTTCTAAAATAATAAATAAATGATTTTACCACACATTAAAACTATAAAGAGATGGCACCACACGCATGGCAACTATCACCAGCTGAATGGCAAACCTGAAGGAAACATCAAGAGAATAGCATCGAATTCATAATCATGGCTGTGTAGAGTGCACTTACCTCAGACATCCACTTGTTAATAGCCTTATCCCATGCACCAATTGCACAATTTTGAGGATTGGATAACATGAGACTTCCAGCATCTCATGCTTGCAAATGAATTATTTAACACAAAATTCTACTTTCATATTCCACCATTTAGATTTATCTCAACTGTTAGAGCCCAAGTGCCACGGGAAAAACACAAAGAGGAGAGGACGAGAAAGAAAAATGTAATTGGGAGGATTGCGATACCTTAGAATACAAAGCCAAGGAGCACTCAGTTGTTAACATGGTCAGCTGCTGGCAATTCATAAACCCATGAATGGGAAATTATCCTTAAAACTACCAGAAAGTATACAGCCTACTAAAAATTAACATGACAGAATGGACATTATTTAGAACAAAATGGCACAGTTGTTAAGTTATTGAATTCTTCTGCACATTTTCCCCCTATTACAACTAAAACTCTAGGTGCTTTTAACTTGAATATGATATTGAATATCTACATCTGTTTTTAACTCTAAACGAGAGTCGAGGAAAACAGAATTAAAAATCTGAATTGAAGCCCCTCCAAGATTTCTTTCAGCCTTATTCAATCAAGATACATACATTGTAGGATAAAACATCCCGTCCGTCCCCTTCTTTTCAATACATCTCCAAAAGTTATTTATTATTCAATCCCTAATCCGCTTACATTAACTAATGATTTTACCAGAGCACATTCAAAACATTTGCACCAGAAAAATATCACAGAAAGGGAATAAGCACAACTACATACATATGAGAAATCGCTAATCAACTTAATAGTATAAAAAGTCAGATTAAAGATCAATCTTCGAATTAAATTCACAATTATGGATAAAAGAGAAGGAATAACCCACCCGGAGGAGGCATGGTGCCCGGAGGAACAGCTCCCGGTACAGCTGCATACCCATTTGGAATAGGAGCAAACGGTCTAAGGGCAGGGTTCGGAACCTGACCCGGAGGAGCTTGGTACTGCATCAACATCGGCGGAACAGAACCAGAAGCCGAATTCACGCCGGGCGGCTGCAAGCCAGGAGCTGGAAATTTATGTAACGGCAAGAACTGCGGTACCGGACGGAAGGAAGGAATCGCCGGAGGGACGGCGGTTGCCGCTCCAGAGATCGGCTGGGGCGTCGAGTAGGAAGGAATCGAGGGAGGAGGTTGAGGAGATACCAAAGCAGCGCTAGGGTTAGGGTTTGGTTGGAGGTGTGTCGTGGTGGTGGAGGAAGGAGCGGGATCGGACTGGGCAGGTGACGGATTCGGGTTATCAGAATCGGGTTTAGATTGGGAATTGGTGGTGTTATCTAGGGTTGCTATAGAGGAGGGAGAATCAGCCATTGAAGAAGAAAGTGATCAAGCGATGAATTCAGTAAAGATTTCCAAAGAATTTCATTAATTTAAACTAGATTTTGTATTTTGTGATAAAACTTCAAATCACTCACTTCATGCTGTCATCTAAGAGCCCTGAACTTATACTATTAGTAACCTTTAACCAAATCATTAAGTAATTTAACGTAATAGATAGAGTATTTTATTTTATAGTTTATATTACTAATAGCATTCAAATAAATCGGTAGATAATTTAATATAATATGTAGCATTTATTTTAGTTTAATTGATTAAATTTTAAATATAAATATTGATACATATAATATATGTATAAACACTTTTTTAAGATAATAGTTAGACATAATTTACTGTTGAAATAATATTCATATTTTTAGAGTAAGCATTGATATATAAGTTATGTAATTTTTGTTTCAAATTTTTTTAATAGTTCTTCATGTTTTCCACCTACAACATTAATTTAATAATTTCATTTATACAAAAATTTATTTGATTATTTAGATTTTTATAAAATATTATTTAGAATTTAAATTTAACTAAAGATAATAATAAATATGTAATATATATACTTTTATTATTTTTAATTTAATAATAATATATATCGTAACATAAAATTATTAAATTAATTAACCCTAAATTAATATTTTCTACAATAAAATTAGTATAGATAATTATATATATATATATATATATATATATATATATATATATATATTGATACTTACCGATAATCAAAGTTTACCGATTGTCAAATTTTAATAGTTTTTTATGTTTTCTACCTACAACATTATGAGCATGTCAACATTTTCGATAGTATTTTACCGAATTTATTAATTATCTTATTAAATTTCCGGTCACGCCATTTCTTAATAATATGTTAATTCGGTCACACCGTTTCTTAATAGTATATTAATCAGCCTTTCCTGATACAATCGTGAATGTTATTGGGGGAAAGATTTCTTGGTTGTCGGTGTATTATATCATTATGGGCTTCAGTTTCCTCAATGTGACCCTTTTTGTTGAGTTAATCGATTGACGAATATGGTCAAGAGGGGGGTGAATTGGCAATTAAAATTTTGGTGGAAGCTTTTGCAGAAAATTAAAAGAAATTTGCACGGCGATTTAGAGTAGTTTGATTTTCTCAACCAAAGTCTACGTCCACTACCTTAGCTATCCACACTAATGATTTTTCACAAATTTACTAATTTGTCTTTCTTTTGAGGGCAAAGAGTAACCTTACAAACCATCAAGAATTATACCACAAATTCTTGAGAACACTCTCTCCCAAAGAGAACAATACAAATTTGCAAACTTACAAGAAAATCCTCACAAGGTAGATTGTTTGCACAATTCTAGAACAAAGAAAAGAACACTCAAGAATGAATACAATTGAGCACAATAAGTGTTCTTGAAAGCAAAATGAATATTGAATGAAAGATAGGCTTGAAATGCTCAAACTTGAAGTTTGATGCTTTCTCTTTGATTCTCTCTTGATTCTAGTTGCTTGATGTTTCTTCTTATTGATCAATGGCTTCTAAGCTTGCTTAAATACACCTTGAATCACTTCTGAACGTTGGAGATCATTAATGAAGTTTTTGGAGTCGTTTAAGTGTAAAAACAATTAATATTTCTGCTTGGAGCGTGGGGGGAATCGGTACCCCTAATGGGGAATCGGTTCCCTAGGTGTAAAATTCAAATATTTCGACCGTTGAACAGTGGGGGGAACCGGTACCCCCTGGGGGGAATCGGTTCCCTCCGAGCATACTGGAATTCTCGGAGCCAAACCATTCAGGGGGAATCGGTACCCCCTTGGGGGGAATCGGTTCCCTCTGAGCAATCTGAAATTTTTGGCTTTGAAATAGTTTGAAATATTTTGTAAAAATGTTTTGAAATTATTTTAAGATTAAAACTTAAATTTTACACTTGAGTAAGGACTTAAAATGAACTTTGAAATACTTTGAGTAATATTTTTATATTTGATTTAATATATCGAATATGCTTAGAAAAATTATTTTCAAAATCAAAATTCTTTTAATTTAATTTGTTATATCGAAACATCAAAATGTTTTCAACAATCTCCCCCTTTTTGATATAACAAAACATTTTAAGATTTTCTAATTTCAAAATGAATTTTGATTTTGAAAATACTACTCCCCCTTACTTTAACACTACTTCTCTTCAAAACGCTTTTAACATTTCTCCCCCTTTTTGTTAAATCAAAAAGATTCGGAAAAGATTTTAAACAAGGATTTAAAAACATTTAGCCAATTGATTATATATATAGTTTAAGCTGCTAAGATCACAATCAAAAGAAACGTTAGCCATTAGTTTCATAATCAATATTCATAAACAATGTGATATGGCAAAATTGGTCATATATCTAACATGATGTAAATGATGCAATAATGAAGAAAATTAACCACACCAAATATACAAGTTCAAACATCTATAAATCCAAACAAATTCAAAGTTAAACAATCCACAAAATCAAAAATTCAAAATGTTGAAACAATAATCTTTAAGTTCAAAGCATAACACAGAATCAAGCATCCGTAGGAGGATCGGGATGAGGAAAATGAGCTCGTATAGCGGACATCTCATGTGAGAGTGCATCAATGCGTTCATTCATAGAAGCGTTGTTTGTGCACATCTCCCGAAGAATTTCTAATTGCTGAGCTCCCATTGTGGATAAATGAGATTCTATGGAAGAGAAACGAGAATCCATGGAAGCATACCGGAAATCGAATGTCTCCATAAAGGATTGAAAATATGGAGGCACTTGTTCTTCGTGCTACACTTGTTCTTCGTGCTGAGCTTGTTCCTCGTGTTGTTCCGGTTCATCGTCGGCTTCGTCAAATATCTTGCATTAATTGCTCAAGTTCGGGATCGTCGTCATCTGCTGGAGGAGCTCGTGAAAAACTAGCTCCCAGAGTATCTTCAGAAGATCGAACCCATTCACCGATGTCCTTATTCTTTATCCATCCCGCTCTCGTTAAGGTAAGAAGATTAATTTGTTTCTTGAGAGGAAAGACGACATCTAAACCTATTCTAAGCTCGGCTTTAGAAAATAGATTACTTAGAATGCAACCATAAACTAGAGAGGAACAAAGTTTCTTATTTGGCACTAAGTTTACAGTTTCATCAAAAATAATCTCAGGAAGATTTATTTTAATACTGTTTTGGAAAAAATGCAACCACCAAAGATCTAAAGCATGAAGAGTAGAGTAATGACCTCCGGATGGTCGAAACTACCAAGAAATCATTAGATGAAGAAAACGATCATGAAGATCTAAGACACTCGCACTATCCCTTCTTTTATACCGAGAGGGGATACGTTCTTCTCTAATTTTGTAAGAGTCAAAATATCTAAAATTGATATCAATGGGATTAGGATTAGGAATTGGAATTTCAGGAATAAGAGGAGGATTTGGAGGTGGATTTGGTTGACGGTTTGAGTGACTAGATGATGACCTAGCACGTTTAGGATTGGACATTGTTTAGAAAATCAGAATAGAATGGATAACCTGCAATTTAGAAAACACATGTATGCAATTCAGTTAATCCCAAAACTCAATTGAGTCCTCAATATTTCAAGGTTCTCTAAACCAATCCTAATGAGCAAAGTTTTTGAAAACTATTGAAAAAATAAGGTTTTGAAAAACAATATATGTATAGTTTTCATAACAACAATATAATTCAATCAAAATACAATAATTTGAAAAACTTTTTTTTTATTTCGAAAATTTCAAAAAATTTTGGAAAATTCTTGTGTTTTTGATGAAATTAGTTGTAATATATAGTTTTTAATCACTAAACAATCAATGCCCTATCACTATTTCTATCTAGAATTAATTAAAACTAGTCCTATGTTCAAAATCAATGAAATAGAGAATTTAGAAAAATTTACCTTGAAATATGAGATTGAGTGGATTTTGATGTTGTTTGCACGATTTTAATGATGCTAGCAGGTTTAGAAGATGATATTTGAAGAGAATTCCGATTAAAAACGTTGTTTTGAGGCAAAGTGGAGGTTTGAGAGAGTGGAGGGGAGAAACGGCGTGAAGAGAAGAGAGAATTTGAGGCAAAAACAAGGGTTCTGCCCGATAAAACCAGAACCCCAGGGGGGTATCGATTCCCCTAGGGGGAATCGGTTCCCCTTCAAGGGGTATCGATTCCCTCTGCCCTATAATTTAAAAAATCTGTATTTTAAACATTCAATATGCTAAATTAATCTTCTTTAGTGGTATTGGCAACTCATATTTCGAAAATTAACCATGTTCAAGCAATCAAATTTATCATTAAAACATCATTTGAACAAACAATTAATTTTCACTAATAATCATAAACTCCCCTAACTAATAGCAATGAACGCAATCAAAAATTACCATTATAAGCATTTTTTTATTTATTCTTAAAAGTGCTAAAAAATATTTTAAACACTAAGTGAAGATAGATCAGTTAAACCTAATTCTCTCCTAAGTGTCCAAAATCTTTCCTTGTC